AAGCCAAGGAAAGCCTGTGGACTTCTTAAAAACAAAGGATAGTTTAGCTTCCCTGGTAAAGAATGTCGGCCTTGAACCCTGTGCTCCTACAGCACTCTCTTTGGGATCAAACGACAACAGCAACTGCGAAGCTCAGACAGGAAGCTTAGGGGACAGCGAGTGTATGTTCACCCGGAAGGAACAACTCAGAAAAAAAGCGGTGAGGACAGTTGCAGGGTTCATAGAAGGCATCCATGTCCCTGACTTGTACATGCAGAAACGGCTGCTCTGCATACGGTTTGCTGTTATGTTCTCGACCACAACGGGAATAAAGTGTTGGAAAAAAGTCCTAGGGAGCAGTTCTGCTTCCAAACACATGGTGTCGGCACAAGTCGGGGAAGCCCTCTGGAGGGCAACGGTTTGATCTAGGGTATTTGGTTCTCCGTTTCCTTTCTGTATCTGGATCAGCTGTCTGGGAACTGAAAACAAGGACGCCTTCTATGAGATGGGCCGATGCAATGGCCATGACGGTGAGTTCGCACAAGGATCAGGAGGGACCCGGCAGCGTCTCACTCCGTGGTACGAGGTCACCATGGACTGGAGCGGATATGGTGGCAGGTGGCAATGACTGTCAGGCGCTGGGCCAGGACGCTGTTCCCGCCGCCACAGCACCTGGAAGCTTGCTTTGCACCAACCACACCAAGCGGATGCGCGCATGCGCCTGTGACTGGTTGGGCCCGCGGAACCCTGCAGCCCGCGCATGCGCAGCCGCGCTGCGGTGGGGGCGGGGGGCCGGGCAGACGGATGTAGAAGTTTGGGCTCCTGCGAAGCCAAGTTCCTCCTCCTGGTCTTGGAGCCAGTACTTCCTAATGTCCAGGGAGTGGGGGTCCCTTGAAGATCGGCACACTTTCTTCCGGCCCCCAAGCAGCTTGTAGGGTTGTGGGAGTGGCAGGCAGGGAACGGACAGTGGCAGCACCGTGGGACGGCAGAGGCATCCCGCTGGGGGAGAGCTGGGAGGGCGTACAGGGTGGGGGTGGGACAGGCACTGCCCTGTAGAGGTCACAGCACACACCAAGTACTTGAATAGAAGTGGCAGGACAAGGGCACCTAGAGCCAGGGCTGCGGAACCATGCAAACGGGTTGTGTCTGGGGCAGAGGGCTGACTAGCCCAGGCCTTGAGCATGCTATGCGGTGGCCTATGGGCGTGGACCCTGCTTGCTTGTAAGCAGCATCTGTCCTCCCCTGACTTGGAACCCCTGCTGAGAATTTGCATTTCCACCTCAAATACACCGATTGGGTGGACCCACAGCGCCCCTAGAGGACAGAGTGGAACTGCCCCAGAGGGTCTCCAAGGCTTCAGTCTTCACAGAAGCAAAGCCCAATCCACACCCACTGTGTGGAGTCAACTCTGACCCATAGCGCCCCTACAGGACAGAGTGGAACTGCTCCACAGGGTCCCCCAGTCTATCAATCTTCATGGAAGCCGACTGCCTCATCTTTCTTCCAAGAAGCCTGGTGGGTTGCACTGACCTATTTTCGTTCATGTCTGAGCACTTTTAACTGCTGCACAACCAGAGCTCCTTATACAGAGCAAAGCCTGGGTTTTTTCTGGGGTTCAGTATGTATCCATGAGAATCACATGAG